ATATAAATTTAATAATTAATAGATAAATTTATTAAATATAATTATGGTAATATGTATGTGTGTGTATATATATATATGTGAAGAAATTGTTTGCGTGTTGCTCCCAATAAATAGGACCAAGTTTTAGGATTATAAATGTTTTGATTATTCAAAAGGGTAGGGTTGGTTTTTCACGTGGGTGAAAGGGAGGCCAAAATCAGGCGCGGAAGCCACCAAAGAATTCAAACAGAAGTGGGCCAATGAGATTTTGACAGGTGTCGAAGAACACGGCGTTTGGGTCAACTTTGCTTGTCCGCCCAATTCTACGGACAGAAAACACACGTCCCGTTATTTCTTTGAAACTTTTTTGAGGCCAATCAAAGTGGAATTTATTTAACCAACTCCTTTTTTACTTATGGTTAATTTTTTTGATATTAGGCTTGATAAAATTACTCTAGAGTAGAAATTTGTTAAATTTTTTAATGAAGAACCGATATAGTGATGATCTAAAACAAAGTAGACGTGACTTCAAAACCTTAAATTAAAGTCGATATTGTATTCTTTCTACTTTTCCTTTCGAGCTTTCCTTCAAGGGTTTTAAAACGCGTTTACTAGGGAACGGTTTCCACATCTAGCAGTCGTGATTTATAAACCTTGCGGGGAAACTCGAAAGGTAAAGTCCAAAGAGTACAATATCTACTAGCAGTGAACTTGAGTTTTTATCCAAGAGTATAAATTTTTTTTTACTTCAAGAGTAATTTTAAAACATGTACTAAATATACGTGGTAATCTTGCAAATTTTGAACAACAAACGTGAATTATAGAGATTTGAAATGTACGTGAATTATGCTTATGTTCCACTATCGGAATAACCCGAAGAATTTTTTAAAAGTAAAAAATAAAAACATGATAATTTACCAATATGAAAATAATTTTTTTTTTAATAATCATACACAAAAAAAAACCAAACACATTAGCCAGATCATGAAAATTTCAACCCTTTGAAACCAACTTAACTTTTTTGACTTTTTTTTTTTTTTTTTTTTTTTTTTTTTTTTTTTTTTTTTTTTTTTTTTTTTTTTTTTTTTTTTTTTTTTTTTT